GGAGGAGGAGGAGGAGGAGTGGAGGGGAGGAGACTTCGCATCACGTGACGAAAGCACTCTGCCTACGCACGGCCCGCTCGGGCCTCACGGCAGGGCTGTGGCCTCGCCGGGCCGATGGTTTGGCCCTGAGTCAGCGCCCGCCCGCCGCGCGGCCGCTGGCCGCGGCCGCCCCGCCGCGGCGGCCCGCCGTGTAGCGGCCGCTGAGCACCGGTAGTGTGAGCGACGCAGAAGAACGGGTCTGACTACGCGGGCACTCGCGTGCGAAGCAGCCCGCGCCAGGTCGCGTGTGAGCGCCTTCGTTTCAGGCGAAGAAGAAACGACGCCATAAACATGAAGTTCTGCCGCTCCGCGCGGATTTCTTAGACCAGAGCTGGGCCCTCCCGGCGGCGCCTCTGGCGCCGCCCCTGGCGCGTTCCGCGCGCCAGGGAGGGGGATCCAGCGCAGACCAAGAAATCCGCGCGGATCTCCAAATGTTTAGGTGTATGCCGTTTTTGTCCCTCCGATGTCAGGCGTGGCGTGCCGCACCGGCGGCCCGCGCGAGCCACCGCGTAGGGTAGCTTCGTCCTCGTGCGTAGGGCCCGTCCCTCTTCGTCGCTCCTGGTGCGATGGCCTGGTTCCCGGGCCCCCCCCCCCCCGATCGGTGCGCCCCGCCAGCCGGCCGCCTCCCCGAGATCCGACGTCGCGACAAGTGGAGGCTCGCTCAAAAATCGAGACTGGGGCTCGAGAACTCCTCTCTGTCTGCGTCGTGTGCCGAGCTGGAGGGAGCCGTGGTGGCCCCCGGGGGCCGAGAGCGGGCAAACACGAGGGGTGTGCAAAGACTGTGGCGCCCGGATCGCAGAGCTGGCCCAGAGATCCGATGCCGCGATTTGTTCAATGCGGGGTCCCGGGAAGTCCCGACCTTTCCCCAGGGCCAGTTTTTCATCTTGAGCCGTTGTTCGACGGCCCTGGGGCTCGGCGAAGGCCTCTAGGTAGGAAGGAAGAGAACCGCCACCAACACCACCAGGGTCAATTTCCTGGGCGATCCAAGACCGAAGATTCGGAAAGACGGACAGACCCGCAGGCGGCGCAGCCACAAGGCATAGGCAGAGGACAGATCGAGAAAGAGAAGGCGACGCAAACAAAGTGGTTGCTCACAAAACGGAGGGAGACGCATGCGGGACAAAGATAAGTCGCAACGCTACCCCAAAGCCCCGGGGCTACAGAACCCCCCGCCCCAGGGGATCCCATAGGCGACTCCCCTGCTCTACCCATCGTAGGACCCGAGCCCGATTGCGATGATGTCCCGAGGGACGTGGTGTACCGTCACGAGAAGGGACCCGCCCGCCCGGCAGGCCGACTGGGTCCCCGAGACCCTTGGGGCGGCTCACGACGCCCACGTCGGTGAGCGCAACGAAAACCCAGCCAGCAGCGACAAGCCCCCCACGTTCGATTTGTCAGACGCCAGGCTGAGGCTCCGCTGCCCATCGGAAGCAGCCACTCCTCGACGCTGCCCCGATCCTCGCGATTCGTACGCGGGCAATCGGGGCGCGCAGTGACACGGTCATCATTTAGTTTTCCTGGTTCTGTTCCCTGGTGGTGTTGGTGTCGCTCTTCCTTCTTCCGATCTGGAGGCCGAAGCTTCCGAACAGCCTCCGTCTTGATTGTTTCAATGCGTTGGATCTCAGAGAGCTCGGCCGAGGCCGCCGCAGGTTGCCTCTCCCACCGCGGGCGCCGCCGGCAAGAGAAGGTCACCGCCGCGGGTGCGCGGCGGGAGCGGCGGCGGCGGCGGCCGCCCGCGGTCTGCAAGCGGCGGCGGCCTCTCGCGGCCCCCTCGCGGCCGCGCGGGTCCCGCCGCGGCCGCCGCGCCGCGGCCGCGGGCGCGCGCCGAGGTCGGCACGATCTCCCGCCGCCCGCGCCGCTGGGTGCCTCTGGAGCGGCCCGCAGGCTGGCTCGCTGCGTCGGGTGCCCCCTCAGGAAGGGAGCACCCCTTTTCCGCACTCGAAGAGGGAAACATAAGGGGGCCACATGCGAACCCCACCCCTACCCCCTCCACGATTTCCGAGGGGGAGGGGGGGGGTCACTTCGCTCGGGGGGGCAGGGGTAGGGTCCAGAAATCGTGGGGGGCAGGGGCAGGGTTCGCATGTGGCCCCCTAAGGAAGCACCTCTCTCCGCATCCGAAGAGGTAAAACGGTATAGGCAGAAACAGTTGGCGCTCCGCGCGGATCGCGCGGATCTCCCGGATCCGCGCTGGGACCTCCGTGGCGGCGCCTCTGGCGCCGCCTCTGGCGCCGCCTCTGGCGCGCCAGGGAGGGGGGTCCAGCGCAGATCCAAGAAGTCCGCGCGGAGCGTCAAAAGTTTGTGTTCATGCCGTTGCTTCTCATTCTGCTCATCCTCCCGCCTCGTGCTCTTCGCCACGCCCCCCTGCTGCTGTGCCACCGTTCTGCGTTCCGCGGGAGGTCTCGTCAATGCCCAATTTCCAGAGCAACGCACGGCTCAGGAGGCCCGAGCGCTTGGGGCCAAC